AACAGGCCGCAGGGATTTGAAATATAATCCCATTATGCCGACGAGATTACGGGCCCTCACAGATCACTCTTAGGGCTTTTGCAGCAAACACCGCCCTACTGGGATTTTGCATTTAAGCAGAAGTGCTTGGTGGGAACTCAAGATGACAGGCTTAACCCTTTCTTGCTCCTTGGCTGCTTCTCAAACAGCAGGGCCCTCCCAGCGGAGCCTGGGTGGGCCCTTCAGGATCTAGGATGTTTGGGCCACATCGGCCAAGGCAGAGGCTCCGCAAGGCTGGGGACAGCTTGTGGCAGCAGGTGGGAGGTGGCAGAGCCAACTCCATGACTTCCCAACGGCATGGCCTCTGGTGAGGGGCTTTGCTTCTCTATGCCTCAGTTTCCTCATCTGTAAAATGAAGCTTAGGTGAACTGAGAAAATGCTCAATAAAATAACAACTAGCCTTACTTGAGGGTTTAATAACAGACAGGGGCAGGGACTGATACGGGACTAGAAAGTCACACCCCATTGTCCCCTCAAAGTAGGCATCATCATGTGACTAACGCTGGCCACTGAAACATGAGTGAAAGTGGGAAGTGACATGTGTCACCTTTGAACCACAGTTATCTCATTTTTGCTCCTCATTCTCTAGCCCTCTGTTCCTGCCCCGGCCTTTGTAGAAGCCCGAGGAAGGCCGGACCCACCACTGACTGTTGGAAGAGAAATGTTAAGTCATTGAGGCCTTGGGGCTGTTTGTTGCGGCAGCGGCGCCCAGCCCATCCTGCCTAGCAAACTCATCGAATCCTCACAATGCCCCTGAGGAGTAGGTATTATTGTCCTCATTTTACAGAAGAGGAAACTGAAGCTCAAAGAAGTAAAGTAGCTCATGCAAGGACACACCAACCAGGAGACAGAGCTGGGCTTGGAGCAGCATCTGCCCAACTCCGGGGTCTGCTTTTCAAGAGGTGGCCCTGGGACTTGGACTGGGTGTAGGCCCACCGTCCATGCCCCCAACCAAGCTCTTTGTCCCTGAGGCAGAGGGCTGGGGTCTGGCTCCTGTGTGCCCTCCTTCCTGGCACTGAGGAAGCTGGTCTTGGCAGCTGCCATGGGCAGCTTCTTTGGGCTCTGAAAGTCAAGGAGGGGACAGCTTGGCACAGCGGGGTCCCCTATAGAGACACTACTACTGGGAAGCACATGGCATCCAGGCAACGGGATTGAGGTAACAGAGGTCAATGTCATGCTGCTCCTTATCAAATGTGTAGGCACCAGGCACTTTGAATATATTGTCTCATTCAGTCTTGATTCCAGCCATGAGAAGTGGGCATTTTCATCCCATTTTACAGACACGGCCACTGAGGTACAGGGAAGTCAACCACTTACCTGGAGGTTGTGAGGCTGGCGAGCAGAGGAGCTGGAAGCAGAGACAGCCGTGGGGCCCCACATGGGGCTCCCCCATACCCTTGGACGGCCGAGCCCACGGGGAGCAGTGGCATGGATCCCACGCTTATCCCCAAGTCGGAGACAAGGGACCTCATGGGATGTGCTGTCACTCGCAGGCCAGGGCTCGGGGTGGCCTCTGAGCTCGAGCTGGGGGAGGCCTCTGCTCTTCCTTGGTTTGTCCTGGTCCTCCCTCCCCCTGGAAGGAGGGAACCCTATGGCAGCCCTGGCAAGCCAGGCGGCAGGAGCCTGTGCCACACGCGGTGTGGGCACTGGGGTGTGGGTGCAGAGAATGGGCGGCTGGGCCGGGCCAGCTCCCACAGAAGCACAGGCCTCTTCCCCACGCTTCTGGCTCCCCTCCCCCATCTCAGGGCCCCTGCTTCTGCCCACTCGGAAGCCGCCATCCTTGCTGGGCTGGGAAACAAACGCTGTCGATGCTGGGCCCAAGTCAGGTGGTGGAGAAACGCCTGCGTCCCCGCCGTGCGGCACGTGGGCCCTTATTTTCCCCCAACACAGAGGCTGTGCCTTCTGTCGCCCGATCCTCCCAGCCGTGGCTCAGTGCCTTACCTTGCCACAGGTGCCCTGGAGCTCCACGAGATGAGGGCCACACAGCGTGCAGGGGAACATCGAGAAGCTGTGACCGTCCGGCTCCAGCAGGGCTGGTGGGGGCCTGGCGTGAGGGCGCCGGCCGGGCGCTGGCTGCGGCAGCACACGGCCCGGGTCACCAGGCCTCGGCCCCGCTGGGCTCTCCTGCCGCCCGTCCACTCCGCCTGGCGCCGTCCGGGCCCAGGCTGCTCTCCACAGGGCTTGCCTAGCCTTCACTGCGGGGTGTTCTGCGGGTCACCTGCCCACCTCTTGGCCTCACTGCTGTGAGTGCCTTGCCAGCCGAGGCAGGTCTCTGCTCCCCTCTCGGGCCCTGATGCAATTGCTGACCTGAAGGAACAAGGAATCCTAAGCAGCTGTCAGGTTTTCGGGGACACGACAGGGGTGGGGACCATCTTCCAGCTTTTTAATGCAGGAAGAAAAGATTCAAGAGGGATGTCAATGTGGCCTTCAAACAGCAGGTGGGCCTTCCGGGGCGGTGGGCACACCGGTCCTGGGGGCTCAGGTAGGAGCGGTGTTAGGAGGCACCGCTCACAGTGGAAAGAGAAATCCGACGTGCAGAGGCCGGCAGCGCGGCGCTGGATCAGTCCTGGCAGGCCATCAGCGGTCAGCCAAGGGTGACCAAATGGGCCAACGAGGAAAAGCAATGGCCTCAATGGTGCCGAGCTCCCCGTCGCTGGAGGTATGCAAATGGAGACTCAAAGACCCTGGGAGAAACATGCAGTTCCTTCCCAAGTAGAGGAGGCTGGACTAATGATTCTCACAGTCCAGGGTGGGACAAAAGTAGGTTTACAGTTGTGAGTACCGGAACAGTTCTTTTTTTTCTTTTTAATTAATTTTTAGAGAAGGGGGAGTGAGAAAGAGAGGGAGCGAAACATTGATGTGAGAAACATAAACAGGTTGCCCCTCATACCCATGGCCCATCAGGACCAAACCCACAACCCAGGCATGTGCCCTGACGGGGAACTGAACCCGGAGACCTTTTGCTTTGCAGCACGATGCCCAACCCAATGATCCACACTGGTCAGAGCGAGTTTATTCTTGTACTGTTATTTATTATTTCCATACAAACAACTGTAAACCTACTTTTGCCCTGCCCTGTACTGCTCAGCTCTCAGAATTCTCACTCAGAAGCGGAGGAGCTCCTGCAGGTTTTGGCAAACCGAAACCACCGGAAGGGTGGGCTCACTGTGATTCTGAGACATTGAAGACATTCTCCAGAAAGGTCTGCAGAGGCTGCCTCATCCAGCACCTTCGTCTGCAGACGAGGAAGCTGAGGCCCCGCGGAAGCAGCGCCAGGCTCAGGGCCACAGAACGCTGGCCGTGGAGGGCAGGGCCCCGCGGTGGAGAGCATGGGCGTGGGGTCAGTCACGTGTGTCCCGGACCAAAGGTGAGACCCTCCCAGGCCCCAAGTCCTTGCCTCTGCCACCGAGGTAATGGCAGGACCTGTCAGAGGCTGGCTGCGGGGGTTCCAGGGGCTCATGCCTCCTTATGTAGGGCTGGCACACAGCCCGGGGCTGTTCTCACGGACCAGCTGCGGCCAGGGCTGCAGCGACCCCTGCCCAGGCCTGCCAGGCCACCTACCCTGGGCGAAGTCCTGGTTGTGAGTTACCTTCACCTTGGTTGGGGGACTCACACTGAAGCCAGGGGAGGAGAAGCGGCTGGAAAGGGGAAGTAGGGTCTGTCGTCACTTGAGGTTAACTCAGGGTGCTGACCTCTTGCTACTTTGTAAGGCCTGTCCCTGAGGAGCTCACAGTCTTATCTTCAAGTCCAGGTGTGGGGAGTGAGAGAGGGAGTTTAACCAGTCTTGACGTTTGGTCCCCCTGGGCCGCCGTGCACAACGTTGCCCTTTCCCCTTCATTGTTCCCTCGGTGGACATGTCCTGTGTGCACTGCATGTGGGCGGCCACGCCCTGCAAGGAGGCATGACTTCCACGCCACCCTTGTGTGAAGAGGTCATTAAGCATGAGGAAGCCCCAGGGCCATTTCATGGGGGGCTGGTGCCACGCCCACTGCCACCCAGCGTGACTCACCGCAGAGTTGCCGTCTTCAGGATAATGTACCCGGGACTTCAAGAATTCAAAACACTATGTAAAATACGGTATTTATATGACTTTTATTTTAATCTTGAATATGCCACAGATTTAATGACCAAATTAGTCATTTACATTTTTCAAAGGTATCTAAATATAAAATTGCTAAAAATTCAAATACAGGTAGCAAGCTACAAATAATGTTTCTTTTAATAGTTTCCGGGCGGGCAGGGATGGAAGACGTTAGGAAAGGATGCTTCTGCTGACTGAACAAAAAAGGTCGGAATGAAAGAGGAATTGGTTAAAATGCTCCCCTGTGCAAAGAAATACGCTCAACGTTGAGATGCTGTTTTTGTCACATCTCTTCCTCTACAGCTATTTTAAAAAAACTATTGGAAATGCAGGTCCTCAGGGAAACATCTGGTCCTTGACCCTGGCCGGGGACAGTGAGAAAGGACATCACCCGGGGAGGGACCCTGGAGGCTGATGAGGACCGCAGAGGCATCTGGTGTGGTCAGAGGTGTAGTGTCAGAGGACGCCCATCCCTGCCTCCCCCCATGGAAGCAGTCTCCCTGCGCCCCGGAAGGTCTGCTCGCCGTGCGCCCCGATGTGGTGAAGGGCCGCAGCTCCTAGCCAGCCGGCCGGGGGAGGCTGGCTCTGTGAGGGGATGAGGAAAGGGAGCGGAGGCCCTCCCACGTTTGCAGGGCGGAGAGCGTCCAGGAAAATCCACGTGCAGGGCAAATGGTTAGTTCAAGTGGACGCTTGCTACCTAAGAACAGAAAAGACCACTCCCGGCCCCCTTCGTGACCCGCGCCCTGCCGCTGCCTCCTCCCCCAGCGCCCCTGCTTGCCCTGCAGCCCCCTGGCCCTGGAGTGAGAGGGGCTGGGACACGGGCTGGGGCAGGAGGCCTCGGCGGGGGGGAAAGGGCGCGGCCTCGGACACACGTCCTGACTTTAGTAAGATACCGTCCTCAAAGCATTGCGCTCATTTAAACAAATGGCATAGTTAAAACTATTGACTAAGCCCTAAACATTCCTTCTGAGAAATCGAGCCATAGCTTTTCTAATCTGCCTGTTCAATATGGGAACAGATTTTAAAGTGAATAACATAATCGATCCTCTGCCCCAAAGAATGGTCCGTCATACCAACCATGATAAAGAGTACACCTGTTTATTCAAAGGAAAAAAAGAAATGTACACTTTTGTTCTTCGTTTGTTTCAAGAAATTTGATCAAGTTGCAAGGAAATGTCCGGGCGCGGCTATGTACATCCTTGGGCGGGGCGACAGGCAGTGACTGTGCCTGGCGGCGCGGGCTCCTCCCGGTGTTGTCTGGCCCTGGGCACTGCTAATCAGAGCCGTTGCTCCTCAGGCTCCGGCCCCGTGAAAATGTCCTCAGCTCCGTTCTAAGGGGTGCCACCCCTTCCCCAGGAGCCCACCGGCCCTGTGCCCAGGAGCCAGGGGTGTCCTCCCCCGAGGACCACAGGCCTGGGGGTGGGGTTCTAGGCCCCCTAAGCTCGGAGCTGCGGCAGCAGAGGGGGGCTGGCGGCCGGCATCACTGCTGCCCTGATTTCTTCTCCTTTTGGAAGCTGAAGCTTGTACGTCTGTTCAGTTTTCTTTGTTTTTGAGCAAAATAGTCAGCCCGGGCAGTGCTTGCTCGTGATTCCAGGATGTAGTTAACCTAGAAAGCAAGAGGACAGCCAGGTCACTTGCCAGCAGCCACTCTGCTTGCCAGGGCAACAAAAAGGAACCCGGGCTGGGGACGAGCTGCTGCTCTAGGTCGGGAAAACGGAGGCTGGGAGAGGACAGGGGCTGGGCCGCGCCTGCCAGTCACGGGGGCGGCTTTGCAGATCGCAGAGCCTGCGCTCTTGCTCACAGGCGCTGCCTTCCTGAGCCCCGCTTTCCTCGTCTGAAAGATGAGAACGGTGCAGGAATGAAAACCAAACCAAAACAAGGCTCTCTATTCAGCACCCCCCACCAGCAGGTACAGAGCTTCCAACTACAGTGGCTTCATTGAGGGCTCACAAGCTTCTCACCGGCCAGGCCTCATGGATAAAAAGGAAGCGAGGCTCGGGGTTGGGGGGAGTGAGGAGCTGACCGGGACCGCGCAGAGGCCAGGGGCAAGGCTGGGAGAGGGGCCGGGAAAGCCCTCGTGCAGAGCGCTCAGCGGGGCTGCCTTCCCGGTCACAGCTCTGACAAGGAGCTCGGCCTTCCGCACACTGCTGCTCTTGGGGTCTTTCACATCCCCACACGTGGATCATCACATGCTGGGTGGCTGACCTATGCTTCGTTCAAGGGACAGAGGGAAAGTAAGACTTGGTTCATGCCCTGAGAAGCTCACAGCCTAGTGAGTGTCCAACAGCCTGACAAGTGTGACAACAGACACAGCAGCAGCACAAAGGAATGGGGTCACTACTGGGGAAGTGTGGGGCAGGGAGGGCTTGCAGAGGGAATGAAAGGGCTGGCTTTTGAGAGATGAGTAGGAGCTGGCAGGTGAGAGCTGGCTGCAGACTGCAGCAAGGGCGTGTCCATGGAGCTGCGGAAGCTGAGTGACTCCTCAAGGAGAGGGGCGGGGCAGGGCCAGGGGAGGGCCATGGCACCAGGAGCAGACCTGCGCCCAGTGTCGGGATGAGCCCCTGGCTCGGCGGGGGCGGGGGGCGGGGCGGGGGGGCGCTGGAGAGCTTTCCAAGGAGAAGCTCATTTAACCTTCAGAAAAGCCTTAGCAGAGAGAGGTCATCATCCCCATTGCCTAGATGAGAAAACTGAGGCACAGAATGGTAAAGGCGCTTACTAAAGCTCACAAAGCTAGTGCCCAGGCCAGGATCTGGACTGGGGCTCAGGTCCCTGACTGACAGACCTTCCTGTTCTCCAGGCCGCGCCCCCAGAGGGACTCTCCTGCCACCTCCTCCTCCTCCTCAGACAGCACGCTTCCTGCTCCTCTCGCTGGGGCTGTTTTGTTTTGTGAGCAAACACAATTTCTCTTCACTCTCAAATATATACAGTTATGACTAGAAACCTGAACACTTCTGGCTAGAGAAACCAGCCACCACCTCTGCTGACTCTCCTCGGAGGGCTGCGTGTCCCGCTCCAGAGTGGGGGGGTCCCCTGCTGACTCGGAGAAAGAGCCCGCGGGTGCTCGGGGGTGGCAGCGCGGGATGGCACACCTGACAGGGCGCCGAGGCTCCAACACTGCGCCCCTCCAAACTTTCTGCTCTGATAGCCGCCAGCAGGCACGAAAGGCTGGGGTGTGCGCACAGAAGGCCTGACACGCTTGGCCCACTGCCTCGCCGCGCTACCAGCTGAGAGCAATAAATCACGGGGGCCGCAGGGCCGGGCTGACGGCTCGGGACACTACAGACAATGTATGGAAATAAGAGGTTTTATCATTCTTAATGAGAGCAATCTTTGGATTATATTGTTTGCACCCTCAGCCAACCTAGTGTTTTCCGTGTATTTTTGGCACATACAACTTGACAAAAGCATTTAAGAATGATCCTTAACAAGCCTACTATTTCCTAAATTTATTATCTTCAGTGCTTTGTGATAATCACATAGATAATTTTAATGGAAGATTAATGTAATAATCAAAAGATAAAAACGCCCTTTGGTCTGCCATTAGCTGGTTAATATGCTGTGGCTTAAAACTTGCACAATTTTATGCACTATAGAGTGTTTCACTTCCAATGCATTTTACAGCTTGAGGCATAAAAATATAGGGAGTTTTCATGGCCAATAAAGCCACAGTTTCCATCACTCGATCATGAGACGAACCCGATTTGAAGAGACCAACTATCCCTCTGAGATTCCTCTCCAAGCCTGCAGACTTAGGGACCACGCAGGGCTTGGCGCTCTTACGCAGATCACACCGCAGGGCGCGAAGGTGGCTCAGGAACTCCTCGGGGCTGCGTTCCAGTCTGCGCTCCACCCTCACGCACTCTGTGGCCCTGGGCCTCTATTTCCTCATCTATAAAATGGGGATGATAACACCTACACTGCAGAACAGTTGTGAAGACTGAATGAGATAATGTATCTAAAATGTCTTGCATCCAGGCGGCACTCAATAAATGGGAGACATTAAGGTCTCTACACAGACAAAAACATGATGAGATAAAAGAACTTGATGGAGAGTTGCCTGTTCAGCATAGTTCCTTTGACATCAGCCTCTGGCCCGTATTTCCTCCTTCAGTTTCAGTTGAAAGCGCTCATTTTATGGAAAAATGCCTGAATTCTAGAACCACCACCTGCATTATGTGAGTCTAAGATTGACCCCTGAAGAGCCTCTGATGGAAACATTTCTGCCCAATTACTGGACACAGGGGCAGGGGCCTCAGTCACTTAATATTAGTGCGAAGCTCACAAAGACACCGTGGGAATGGCAGATAAGGCTAAGTATTTAAATTGCTATAAAAACCAGAGACGGGAGAAGTGAAATTTAATCTTCCATCAGGATCCTGGTCGTTAGCTCTCTAACTAAATCAGGCCTGGGCGCGCTGTGACTCTCCTGGAGTCTCGCGCATGATGCAATATTTCTACAAACATTTTGATATGAAAACAGACATTTTAGGGGCGGCGATGGGCCTCAGGGATTTTGCAGGAAAGCATCTGCTTCGGGGGAGCATTTGGTCCCGTAAAATGATTTCTCTGCACTTGCTTTTCCACACTTTCATACTAAAGTCATAAACCTGTGTTTCTGTCATCAATCTGCTGTTGTGAAAATTATTTTGATGTCAAACACAGGATTATAATTTTACTAGAATCCTTCTCAAGTCCTGAATATTTTAATGCTGGCTATAAAAAGAAGCCCAGCCCCTGACGGGGTGATGGAATATTTCTTTACCTGCTCCCTGAATACTCTGCACAAGTTCCCTGTGCTATCTGGCGATGATTTGGCAAGTAACTCTTAGCTTGCTGGTTTTAAGCACTCCAGGCAGGCACTCTGTCCCTGCGGCCCGGGGGCCGAAGGTGGTGGGGCGGATGGGCGGGGCGGCTGTGGCCCAGGAGGTCCGTGAACCTGCTCCCTGCCTCCCACTGACCATGCTCCTCTGTCTCGGCTCCAGACTGTCCTCCCAGAGGCACTCTCTTTTCAATCCTCATCAACTACTTCAAAAAATCTTCTGCAGCCATAAGGACTTTGCCTTAAAACAGCTCTATAAAACAAATCCATGTTGTTGAAATCCCCCACTGAACTCCTTAAGTCTATACACCTCTGTGGGGCAAGGAGCACAACCTGGGCTCAAGTTCTGGTTCTGCCACTCATGGTCCTAGTTAAGCTGACTTCCTTGTTTCTGAGCCCCAGCTTTCACCTGGGAAATGGGAACCATTTTACATCGCCGCACCACGGAGCCGTGCAGACACAACAACACGGCACGTAAAGGGCTTACCCAGCCCGGGTGCCACACTGGCTGTCCCTTGGTGCACCTCTGCCACTACCTACTCTCGTTACTTGGTGACTTCCATGTTTAAGAGGAGAAGGGACAATCAGCTAAGTAGGTTGATTGCCTGTCATTTGATTTGTGTTCTAACAGACCTGTGGCGGTGGGCGGTGGCCTAGCTGCCATGCCCCCCCACTTCACAGGCAGACACACTGAGGCCCTGAGAGGGGAGGTGACCAGCCAGCATCACACAACTCAGAGCCCCCTCTGGCTCTAAGACCTGCTCTGCCAAAGCAGTTCTGTTTTTTTAAAAATTTTATTTGATCATCTACGTAAGAGTCAGTTTAACTAAGACCGGGTTCTCAGTTTGGAAGTTTGAAAACCACTATTCCAGGGCTACTCAGAGTGTGCTATGCAGATCGGCCTGTGCAGCACCTGGGCGCATCCCCGAGATGCGTGCCTCGGGCCCTGCCCCAGCCCTCCTGCCGGGGGCGGGGGGGAGGGCGCGGGGGCGGGAAGCGCTTCCCATCCGACCCTGCTTGGCAAGGTTCTGGCCCCTCCCCCAGCCACACCGTGCTGGGCCCCAGGCCTCTTTGCCCCTCCATAGGCTGCTTATGGTTTTAGTGGTTAACGTCTGTGTCCTCTGACAGAGGAAAAGCTCTAGGGGCAGGGACTGGGTGTGTCACCACAGTATCTCGAGTGCCGGCCTGGCTCACCAAGGTGCTCCGTAAGCATTGTTGAGATATGGTAACATCAACTCTAGTGTCAAGCTGGGTGTGTTTAGAACAGGTTGCTAAAATTATCTTGGGTACACTAAGGTGTCTTCAAACAACAATAATCATTTCCTCAGAGTCTGTTCCAGGGGCCTCAAGGGGCTCCTGACAATGGATGGAAGGAAAGAAATGGCACCTAACAGGACAATAAATACACAAAGAATCAGGATTACTGGGGGGCTGGGAGGAAGCCAAAGGGGGCTCAGCCTGCTTTGGCTGAGGTGGGTCAGGACGGCTGACCGGCGGCGTGGCCCTGGGCACAGCACTCACCGGCTGGGTTCCTCCTCTGCAAAGTCGGCCCAAGAGCCTCCTCAGTGTCGGGGGAGGTCCAGTCCCACAGATGCCAGCCCCACACACCTGGTGCTGGGCCGAGGAGGACACTCACCTTGAGCATGATTTCATTGACGGTAGCAGCGTCGGATTCAAAGTAGAGGTGTTTATAGTCGTGATTGCTTAGATATGTGAGTTTAAATATGGCGTGACCTGGAGAGAGAAGAAAGGTGGGGCTGAGGCAGCCAGCAGGGAGGTCCACTGCTTCTCCCAGCGCCCGGTTCCCGCGAGAGCATGTGGGGCTGCGTGGCACCTCCTCTCCGCAGGAGCAGCCCGACCTCAGCGGGCCAGAGCCTCTGAACTCTCGAAGATCCAAATTGTCCCACCCCCTTCCTATTGCCTTCAGAGTAACGGCACTTTGGTGACTGCTTCCCGGTCTGGCCTCCTCCCACCCTCCGCCCTCACATGCTGCAGGCCAGCCCACGGCAGTGCACACCCCACCTGCCCGGGCCTGCGGTCTCCTCTCTCACTGACCTGTCCCGAAAAACCCCTGCTGATCCCGGGAGACTTGGCTCAACTGGCATCTCCCTGAAAGCATCTTCATAGCTACACTTCTGGGCACCCTTTACGTGTCACCTCCCACAAGGTGCCTCATGACACCTGCAGCTGTGTCTGCACTCCCTGTGCCTGTCCTTCGGCCCAGACTTGCCAATCAGGTCCCTCCTCTAAACTGAAAGGAGATGCCGGCCTGCTCAGTCCACTGTGAAGCTGTCCCTGTGCTATTAGCATACACTGTCCCTGGGTTCTGGGAGACCCCTGTGGCCCCTCTTTCTTAAGGAGAAAATCCTTTTTCCCCTTAGGCTATTTCAGAACATTTACATAGAGGTCTCAGAACCAACCAGACCTCAGTGCTTATAAGATTAAAATTCAGCATATCCTTTCTATTAGGTCTTCTCATCCGTTGTCCTTTTAATTGAGGCAGCGGCTGGTCATAGTTATTAATTAATAATATATCACCCATATTACTGTAAGTTCACCTCTTTCCCGGAGAAATCTTCTTGGGGACTTTATTTACAGTAGGTAATTCTTCAGATCTCCAAAAATAAACTGATATATGTTGTACATCTGTGGCCAGAAAAGTTGAGTTGCTAGGATTTTATCCTGGAAACATCATTATGATATACTAATTGTGACTATAAATTCTATATTGAAAAAATTAGCTAATAATTTCTGAAAAAACCTCACTTTCAGCCACTTGACAAATTTAGCCTGATTCTAAATTGTGGCACTAAATTGTCAGAATTCTTAGCCGGAAGGGAATCCTTGTGTTAATACATCAATTACTCGTTTTGATAGAAAGTGGACCTCCCATAAATAGATGCATCTGTGTGTGTGTGCATGTGTGCAGTCCTCTCTCTTCACAGGACCCCTCTTGGACCAGGAGTCTTGGTGACACCGCTGTGAGGCAGAACTGTGCGGGCCAGCTCTGTCGGCCCCGCTGTGAGCAGGCAGAACCATCCATGAAGGTCACGGGCTGTGAAGGACAAACAGAGACACCGCCTCTAGGAGGCCTTACTGCTGACACCTGGCCATGACAGACACAGACTCCAGGGCCTGGGGCTAAAAAGGACCAGAAGGTCTTAGGGAGGCCTGTGGACCTGGAGCTTCGGGGTTCACTGACCACTCTGATAAGTGATCTCATGAATTGTCTATACCACCTGCTCCCACTTGTCACTGACAGAACAAAACCTCAAGATGCTCGAGCATGTTTTGCCTGAACAATTGAGACACCATTAAAGACCTCTCCTGTGCTCTTTGGTCAGAGCTAAATCTCTGTGTGGTGTATGTGATGTGCAGTTTGCATGGGCCTGGGAACCTCTGGAAGGAGCCTCGACACTGTCTCCATGGAGCAGATCGACGGTGGGCTCACAGAGGGGAGGCCCGTGGTCTGCACAACAGTCACATGAAAAACCAAAGAGAAAGCATCCTAAGCCGCGACTCCTGAAAGGCTTACGCAGCCCAGGTGACCGCAAACATTCCACCGTCTGTGTTCTGCTGTGCCAGGGGGCTGCGTGTATCCCCTCCTGTCCCCAGTGCTCATTCCTAGGAGCAGTGAAGGGGACAGGAATGATGAGGAATCCCAGCCCTTGCCACCTCTCTGAAGCCCCTGACTTGCCTGCCCTTTCCAGGGGAAGCATTCATACCACTGAGGGAACCGCAGACGTTACCCGGAGTACCTGTATTTGAATTTCAACGAAGCGCGTTTCTGTGGCTGTTGCCGAGCCACAGATGTTAACACCTGGGTTAAGGTGTGGCGGCACAGCCAGTGCAGGCAGTCCCTTCTTGCTCTTTGGGGGGCATTTCAAGGGAAAGCTCTACTGCCAAGGGTGCCCAGCCTTTCGGCGTCTCTGGGCCACACTGGAGGAATTGTTGTCCTGGGCCACACATCAAATACACAAACACTAACAAAAACTTACGAGCAAAAAAAAGGTTTTAAGTGAATTTACGATTTTGTGTTGGGCTGCATGTGGCCTGCAGGTCGGACACACTGCGTCCAGTGCCTGGGCGGCAATGTTATACCACACACGGGTCAGCGCGCTCCAGGCATCCGTTTTCCTTGGTGGCCAGGGCAGTTTTAGTCACTTCAGGCCCCGCCAGGGGCATAAGCTAGTGTGAGATCTGCTACGGAGACCCTGGGGTGGGCGGTCAGCTGGGTTAGGGTGGGGGTGGAAAAGGACGCCAACAGGGCCGGGATGGACTGTGGAGAAGTGGACCAAGGCAGGAGGCAGAAGACAGGGCACGCCAGATTCCCCAGCGGAAGGAGCCACGGTGGGTTGGTTGTAAGCTAGGCAGTGAGGTAAACAGTCAAACTGTGCTTTTGGGTGTTTACCCTGGCTCCCCAGGGCCTTGAGACAGGGACGCCAGTGTCACAGTCACCCAGGTAGGAGTGTATTTGATTTTGAACTGAACAGGAGCAGAAAGGATGCTGAGAAAGGCACTGACTTGAGAACTATAGAGAAGGAAAACTGGCAAGACTTGGGGGTTCTTTTATAATAGAGTATCAGTTAATAAGCAGAATTCACACTTGCATAGCTTCACCCAATGCACAACCTATATATTAAAGTGTAACAGGTTCACTGACCTCTCGCTGGAAATGAATCTGTCAATAAACATAAGTAACTTATGCTATGTGGTGAATTCCCACCACAGGTGATCAGGAAGAAGGAACCACTGGCACCTCCATGGCCACTGAACAGGGCAAGAGCACAGGGCAAGGGAAGCCCACCATGAAACCCCGCATCAGCCTAGGCACCTCACGGCGCACCTCAGGCGAGGGAGCAGGGCTCAAACGACCCCTCAGCTGCAGCCCACAGGCCATCGGCCCTGAGGGTCAGAGGGAATCAGAGGCGGGCAGGTCACCCTTGAAAATTCAGAGATCATCAGCAGTTTTCACAGGGATGGGTGAGCCACAGGGGCAAACTATAAATATGTCATTTGAGAAAAAATTAAATACCACTATGAATTAAAAAAAAATGCTAAATCTGACACTCCAATCAGTTCCAATTATTTTGCTTGGACTGTTAAATTTGCTCAGAAGCTGAGGCATGAGAAAGGCCTGGGGTGCCTGAGAGGAAAGCAGGGACTCCGCAGTCGGTCCGGATGAGGTCCCAGCCTGGCCGGGTTCGAGTGTGGCGCTGGCCTGGTGGTCACAGGGCAGGCAGCGCCTCTCGGGGGTCTCACACAGCACTGGGACAGGTCAGGGGCTCAATGGGCGGACGTGACCATTCTTACAGCTGTGAGGGAACCGATATTGGAAGATAAAATCATTATTTTGAAGATTTTGTTTTTACCTGGGCCTGCTTTGAACAGACTCGTTCTACAGTGCTGTTGGAATAACCGCAACACAACCGGGTATCTAATGTGGCATCAGCGCACTGGTCACACGCTCAAGGCAGACACCGTGCTGGCACTATGTACCTGCTTCTGAGTACTGAGACTGGCATCCGGACATATAAAAATGTATCTTACACTTATGTTTCCCCCCCAAAGTGAAATACAGAAGATGGAATGTAACAGAAGAAACTAATTAGTAGCATAAATGTCAGGAGTGAGACATTTGAGCTTTTGTACTATGATTTATCCTCTTAAACTAGAGGCTGTGCTGAAAAAACAGGTTCCCCTGGTCAATTCAGGGGAGTGGCCATTCTGAAGCTGCGAACATTACAAGATGGGTAAGCAAAGACGGCAGCTCACACCCTCCTGCGAAACGAAGTGCTCGGGGGTTCACACTGCAAATGGGACAGACTCCTCATTCGGAGGAGGATCCCTGTGAACATAACCTGCCGGCACTGACTGGCTTGGTGCTGACTGGTCAGGGCTGGGGCTTCCCAGTGGAGCCTGCAGCCTGCCTTTGTCTAAAGCCCTATTGCTGTAATGCTGGGAAGTTTTAAAAACATTTATTAATTCATTAAAGATAATAAATCTATTATAAGTTAACATGAAAAAATAGTTTTTAATGGAAAAACCTTCTATTCCCCCAAGGTTTAATTAGAAGCGTGGCATTATTTTATATGTTTGAAATCTCTTTAATATTTGTCTTAACAGAAAACAGCTGCGTTATTCTACCTGCTTCTGCATTTGACCTGTTGTGTTACGCTGTTTTGGCTGAAGCATATGAAGACATGCCAGTGTCAAGGAGATCAGTTTGGAAAAGGGAGGTAGGCTTTAAACTCTTCTTTGCAAATATTCCTCTTTGATACCATACAAAACTCGATAAATGGTAGTTTCCTAAAGATTACTTGTAATATGGAATCTAAAACCACATTAATAAACTTGGACTCCGTTACAGTAAAATCCATTGGTCTGTCTTGCACTTTTAATGCACCTTTTGCGCTTGCATGGTTTTGTAACATCATGTAGTAGCCTGGAAAATATTGGTTCACTGAGTTACGCAGGTCTTCAAATGTTGGCACATTTCATTATATGATATGAAAAAAAAAATCATATTCATTAATATCACTACTGATCTCATCAGAAAAGTAAAGCAATGAGAAGCCAACCTCATAGTGCTGGATACAAGTTTCCCAAAATTCTGTCACCTGATCACTGGGATCAAATCTTTTTCTTGAAGTGACAGGCTTGCTTCCTTCATTTTCAAGAAAATATCTGCTACATACTCAAATTTGAATAACCACGGCTTGCCAGTTGTTCTCTCAAGTAGAAGTGGTATTCCATGAAATAAATGGCTAGGTTAGCTTGCAACTCCAACAATTATACAAGTGCTTTTCCATGGACAGGTTTTCTACTCCTACATGCAGCACAAGTGCTTACGGCACCTTGTGATTTCTTGTTGCCACAAAACAGTTGCATACTGCCACGTTGCTGTGCTTACCGAGTTCTTGGGCTGCTCTTTAATAGTTTTTGCTTTGTTTTGTTTCATTTTTGGTCAGCTCTTGTCAGTTTTCACTTCCCACTGTCTTTATTAAGTTCTATTATTCTTCCTCCCCTCTTCTAATTTTCTGCATTTAATATCCTTTAAGAAGAGAAACCAGATAATTGAGTGTGGCTGAAAATGTGTTAAAAGCCTTTATAGACTCTGAGTCAGGGATAGGGATGCTCTTCCATCAAAAAAAGCAGTTTAAGTCCCTTGGCTTCATGTCAGTTGCAGAGGGAAGAACTAAGCTCTGCTATCATTTATATGTAACTTTCGATAAGTTATGTAACTTCTTTGAGCCCCAAAATCTCATCTATAAAATGGGGATAATATCTGCCCCGTGGAGTTGTTGCTAGGATAAAAACAACAATCCTAGAATTCTATAACACATGTATATAAAACCTCATGGAGATGCTGTAAGAACTAAGCAGTGCACATAAAGCACTTGGGACACTGGCTGGCCTGTGATAGGGTCCCTTAGCTTTTTTCCTCCATTCTCTAAGACAAGTGCACTTTCCCTGTGTAAGGGACCAGACAGAAGTATTTTAGGTTTTGCAAGGCAAGAGGCAAAATTAAAAAATTTTATAGATACTTACATAGCTGGGGAGAAAAAAAATTCCACAATTTTAATTGGCAAAATTAAAAATGTAATAATCAAGTGCAATTTTGGGGGGGGGGGTGGTAATACAGGTCCACTAATAAGACAGAATTTTTTTTTTTTTTTGGTGGGGGGAGATAATATTTTGCTTAAATGAAATTCAAAATTGGTGTTCTCTATCATCAAATCAATTGTAAATGTTCACTTGTAAAAACCATTCTTAGCTCACAGGCCATACAAAAACAGGCAGTGGGCTCGACTGAGCCTATAGGCCAGAGTTTGTCAGTCCCCAGCACGAGGTCTCCCTCGCTTATTTCCTTTTTCTTGGTTCATTCCACATCGTTGCTTAACGGTAACATTTTGAGTGCTCTTAATTTCTTTGTGTAGATTGGCGTTTCAATGGCAACAAATTCTTTCATTTTTTGAATGTCTGAAAATGCCTTTATTTCATCTTCACTTCTGAAGTATGTCTTCACTGAACACAGAATTCGAGGCTGACAGGTTTTCTTTTAGCACTGTAGATATGTCACTCCATTGTCTTCTGGATTGCATTCTTTCTGACGAGAAGTCAGCAATCATTCTTACCTTGGTTTCTCTGGCCAGGTTCAAGATTTTTCTCTTTATCATTGGTTTTCAGCAATTTGATTACAATGCGCCTTGATGTCGTTTTCTCTATATTTATCCTGTTTACCCTTCACTGGGCTTCCAAGATTAGTGAATTGATATTTTTAATCAAATTTGGAAGTTTTCTCCACCAACCCTCAGAATCCAATTACATGTATGTGAGAACAGCTGATATTATTCCATAGTCTCTGTTCTTTCCATTCACTTTTTCTCTGTGTGCTTCACTTTGAATAGTTTCTATTGTCCTGTCTTAAAGTTCACTGATTGTATAGGCAGATTCTGAAATGGTTCCCAATGCTCTCACTTGCTGCTTTTCACACCCTTGAATAATCTTTTTGTTTGTGGGCTAGACTTAGGGACTTCTTTTTTTTTCCTAGGTAGGATGGTTGAACTTGAGCCCACAGGTAACAAGCTGGCCCCAGACTTCTCCAAGTCCTCATTTCTTTGCCTCCCATTCTTACATGTCCAAAGTCAGGGAACCACAGACATGCCTTTGTAGAAGGGTTAGAGACTTCTAGTGAATAAAATATAGCAAAATTGTTGGTATGTTACTTCTGAGACTAGGTTACAAATGATTGTGACTTCTTCCTTGCTAGTACTCTTGCTGTTGGCTACTTTGATGAAGTTAGCTCTTTGCCACCTTATGAGCTTCTCTACAGAAAGGCCCATGTGACAAAGAACTAAGGGTGTTCACAAGGAAATTAACTCTGCCAGAAGTCATTCAGGACCTTGGAATCAGATCCTGCCCTGGGTGACATGCTGGGTGCAGTCTTGTGAGAGACCCTAAGCTAGAGGATCCAGCTAAGCTGTGCTGGATTCCTGACTACAAAACTGTGAGATAATACATGTTGTTGTGTTAAGGCACCAAGTTTTGGGGCTATTTATTATGCCACAACAGATAACGCTCTGACCTTTTTAACTAATATTCCTAATCTGTTCCCATGAGTGAATTTTTGGACTCAGGTATTGTATTTCTCTGCTCTTGAATTTTCATTTGGTTCTTTTTTAATAGTTTCCATTTTTCTTCTGAGTTGTTTTCCTTTAAATCTTTGAACATATTTATAATAGCTATTTTAATGTACATTAGGTCATTGAATAACAATGAACAATAACAATAACAATTGAGTAACAACTTCTGCTTAAAGTTGCAGTTTTCAAGAACCTATTGACAACATTAATTGAAGACTTATTGTACTTATCTGCTAATTCTATCATCTCTGCCATTTCTGGCTCTGTTTCTATTGATTGATTTTTTTCTCCTGGTTATAGAACATATTTTCCTGCTTCTTTACAAGTGTAGTAATTTTTGATTGAATGCTGGACACTATAAACATTACATTGTGGGAGTGTCTGCATTTTGTTGTGTTCCTTTAAAGAGTACTGAGCTTTGTTCTGTCAGGCAGTTAATTTACTTCTGGATCAGTTATTAGGCAAAGATTAGAGCAGTCTTTAACACAAGACTAGTTTAGCCATGCTCCTAAGATGTGGCCTTTCTGGAGTCACTACTAAATGCTCTGGATGCACCTCTCTGGTGGGCCAGAACTCAATCTTACAGTGCCCCAGCAGGTGTTCTCTGACCGGCCTTGTGAGGTCCCACTCTGGGCATGCATAGTTTAGTTTACAGCAAAAGATTCAAGGGCCTCTTTCTGGAGCTCCTGCTCAGTGCAGCCCTCTCCTCTACAAACTTTATTTTGCAAATTTTAGTTGCTTCAGCCTCCTCCAGCTCTGATCTCTGCCTCCCAGCTCCCTGAGACTGCTATACTCTCCCTGGGAAACCCTGGAGGAAAGCTGAAGTGATAGTAGGTCTCGCCTCATTTGTTTCCCTTCTCTCAGGGCTCATAGTCTTGTACTGCCTGTTTTCCAGGGTTTGAAAACAGTTTCTTTTATTTTGTGCAGTTTTCCAGTCATTTATGATAGAAGGGCTAATCTGTTAGCAGTTACCCTGTCCTGGAAGTAGCCTATGGGAGTCTTGTAAGCAATATACATTTTGATTTTAATGAAAGAATGGCTTACTTTCTCCATGTCTATAAGAATAACTTAAAATCTAAGCACTCCATTTATTTATTATGAAAACACAATTTGGAACTTGGCAGGAGGCAAGGGAAACAGCTTTTTCCTATCATTTATCCAGCTGAGAAATCTTTCAGAGTTTTTCAGGAGAAAACAGTCCCTGCCCTGACCCTCTTCTCAATTAGGGTCTCTTCTGATGTTACAATCAAGAGAGAAAGAATTTGAGGAAATGGTAATGCATACCTAGAAAAATGCAAGTGCATCACATTTTTCATTATCTCTAGATAACTGTTTTGTTATTACGGGTCCATGGGTCCAGGTCAACAATGAAGGGACAACTTAATAGTGAAATGAATGCTTCTCCCAGGAGTAAAAAAGAGATGATACCCTCAAAATGTTTTCTACTCTAACAAATATCAATATTCTATTCAAGGCAAGTCAATTCTTCCTTGTATATTAGCAAGTCCTATGGAAAAATGAAGTTTATAGGAAATGAAAGAAAACCCACTGGCCGATTTTGATCACAAACACCTTCTTACATGTCACAGAGTCAGCAAACATGCCCCCAACATCCGCTACGAGCAACTGTAGAACCTGATAATGAATGCAAGAGGTGAGATGTTCTTGTTACCTGGATGGGGCTCAGAGAAGATCCCCCTGCTTTCTAAACTCAGAAAGCGCTGACCCTTCTGCAGCCTACACACACTACTGAGACGCCTCTATTCCAGGAACTGCAGAGACAAGCACACTGGTCCTGTCTATCACATGCTGAGGGTAAAGAGCAATAACAGGTTAAGAATAAGATGCTGGGTTTATCTTTTCACTATAACCATGAAAAGTTCTCCACTATTCCTCTACATTTCTTTGTTGAAGAGCCTCACTTGCTCTTGGTCAATTCCAAATTCCAGAAGCAACTTTTAAATGTTCAAAATGCCCAGGCAGAGTTAGAGAGTCCTTGGGTACTGACTGCAGCCCCTGGAGAGAAGCTGCTGAATTTTCGGAGGAAAAAGAAATAACCAGGTCAGTCAATGGGACACATGCTGGGCTGGCTCCCACAGGCTAAGTTTTCAGGGGCCTGGCCAATGCTATTTAGCCCTAGAGAAATGTTCCTTGAAACACAGGGATGGCCTATTTCACAGCAGATTGCAGCGGGAGGTTACTGGCAACCAAATTGAGTCAGAAAGCCTAAGCATGCAGCCTGGCATTGGTCGGTACAAGTCAGCCTCATGTTCACGGTGTTTCTCCACCTTCATCTTGTGGCACACTCCGCTCTTTCCCTCCCATACACTTGGAAAAATTGAGGTGGTCCCTTGGTTGCCTAAACCCATCTCCCTGCAGCTCCCTTGTTTTGGAAGAAGATGATAAATAAATCAAAATGCACTAAGCAGCACTTCCACAGGCACTCGCCTCCTTCACTGAATGTGCACCTCATCAATCACACTATTGTCTGCTTGAAAGGCGAGCCTTGTAAATGTCATATCCACTCAGGCCCAAGGAGAGGCGCATCCAAATGCAGCAAGGAGTTTTAATTGGATAGTGTAATTAAACTAAAAAACCCCAGCAGACTCTCTTTGACAGGATAGATGAAGACCCCTTTTAATAGGGCTAGGAAACATATCTGTTAAAAGGATGAGGCACTGCCTGCTCCTGATTGTGCTCCAGAGTACTCTTATGAAAAGGCAATTCAATAACTGGGGCATTTAATGTGTTAGCGTCCGTTGTGCTCTGTAATCGAGCAGTACTTACCGTATTTGATCTGGAACTTATGAAATAAGTCCTTGTCAGAGAATAAAAATACAACATAGCTTGCCTACCTAATGTCAGAAGTGTCTGGGCATCCTGGAAATTGACAGAGCCTGAGGGTGGGCTGCAGCCCCTTTGGGTTATGGGTCCATGTGAGTATAAATACAAGCACGCTACTTAATGGGGTCTACAGTACAACGACGTGACCATGGCCACCCACCCACCTACCGTGGGTATAGCTCTTTCATTCAGCAGTGGCTGACATCACCCTCATTTCCCTTTCACATATTTTCACGAGCATTTAAGGAATATGACAAAATTGCTGGGGACCTCCCCCTTCAGGAACTGGAATACCTGTCACATCAGTGTGTGCATGCGTATGTTTTCTCTGGTAGAACTACCCTTGTCAAATAGGGAGGAAAGAAATTGGGTGGTCAAAAAGTTCAATGCGTGGGCTGGGGTGTACTCAAGTCAATTTCAGTAACAAAACCTGAGTCCTTCTGCCACTCTTAGTTGGGAGGGGGGAGTGAAGGATGCACACATAGGCACACACACCAGGGGCCAGAGGCTCCACAGTCAAGGTAACAGAATAGGTGAGAACACAGGGCTGTCTTACACGCAGACCATGACAGTCTCTTTCAGATGGAATGCTGGTATCCCAAGGTCAAAGTTAGGGAACCTAGCATCTGGGTAGATCAAGGGAACTTCTGAGCTGGGGCTCAGGTGGGATATACAGGAAAGATTTCAGAGCTACAGTTTTCCCCATCTACAGTTTTCCAAAAATAGACACTTTGCTTTATTTACAAAAACCTTAAAGTTGGTTTGCCTGGGCTCTCAGCAGTCTGATTTTTCTTTTTTTAAGGATGGTGAAGGGTTTGTTTGATGACTGCTTTTACTCCTCCATAAAGCCTCCTTGGAGCTCTGTTTGCAAACCTTTGAACATTCTTGATACTGGTTTTTCACTGAGTTGATGAACCCATTAAGGACATATAAGTGAATGTTTATAATCTATAAAAACTGGAAACTGAATTAAAACATCAAATAGCTTTAGGTTTAAATGAAAACTACATAAAAGCATTTCAGCCATCAATTTGGCTATCACTTCTAGCCAGTATGAATTCTGCTGGAAAAGCTATTTTCGTGCAGATGTGGAATTCAATGGGAAAGACTGACTCGTGTACCAACATCAATCAAAATGTCGACTTCCCTGGCAGCTCTCAACAGTAAGGCAGGTTCAAAGGTCACAGGATAAAGAAAAAGCCAAGCTCTGGTTCAGCTCTAATATCTCCTCAGTAGAAGTCTTGCAAAAGTACCCCCTTCTGTATTAGCCTTGCTTTCATTAATCTTCTTGCCATCTTCTTTAACTAGTCATGCAGAACCGCTCGATAGCGAGACGTATAATGGGGAAGGCCCTGTGCCTATTACCACGTTAACATTCTCTTAAGCCCCAGTGCAACAATGGAATGGGAAGGCACAGGAAATCTGCAACTGCAGGGTGCAGTGCAGGCAATTCAATTACAGCCTGGGCTTACCTATGTACTTCTGACCTATAAAACACAAGAGGCCTTTGTGTCTAACTGGCTTGCCCATTAAGGTTCCTGAAGATCACAACAATGCTGATCTTTTCTATTTAAGCTAAATCAATGTGGACAAATCATTATTCAGGAGCTTTAATTTAATTAGTAAATTAAATACACTATTTTACAGATCTTGTCAAGTACTTATGAAAAGAAAGATTCATTTAAGCGGGA